GTTTATGCTAAGTGAAATAAGTCAAGCAGAAAAAGTCAATTATATGGTGTCACTTATTTGTGGAACATAGGAATAGCATGGAGGACATTAGGAGAAGGAAGGGAATAATGAAGGGGGTGAATCGGAGGGGGAGATGAACCATGAGAGACTATGGACTCTGAGAAACAATCTGAGGGTTTTATAGGGGAGGGAGTTGGGGGGATGGATCAGCCCAGTGATGGGTATTAAGGAGGGCACATATTGCATGGAGCACTCGGTGTTATATGAAAACAATGAATCGTAGATCACTACATCAAATGATGTATTGTATGGTGACTAACATAACATAATAAAGTAAAATTAAAAAAAATAAAATAAAATGTAGAATTTATGGGCAAAAAAAGGTTGCTATTATTATGTTAATTTAATCGTAGGAAACTGAAGATTATTCACAAACTAGCCAGCCGACTTCCAGAAAGTTTTTGAATTTGGTTTCTGCTGGCCTTCCCAAAGCCATTCAGCCTTTTATATTCCAGAATATTTGAAAACACATTAAAGAAACATAACGATTTAGAAACAGCCAGGCGGTGACTTCCTCACAATGTAAAGGCCAATGCCCCGACAGCCCTGGAAGAAAATAAATGCGTGGGACAGAGTTTGCTATGTGGCAATATGTTAGCTTTAGGACATAACAAAACTGCAAGAATGGCAAGTGGCTGAAGTTCATTACCATTTGACCCTGCAGGAAGGAAGCAAAATCATTTTAAAGTACCAATCAATTGTTTCTGTTTTCTTCATTGAAGCAAGTGGGACTCTGGGGAAAGAGTGAAGTGACAGATATTTAAGTACAATTTGATTTGTCTTTGTCTCCCTGCAGCCCTGAGAACAATGCCTTCACAGAGCACAATTCCGAGAATATTTACTGATAGAACCAGTGTCAGGAAGTTTAAATGGACAGTGATGAATGGATACCTTATTGACATTCAGAAAACCACGTCTTCTGCCCTGAGAACCAATCTGTAGGGGCCAGACATGGCTGGAAACAAAACCATTTCAGACAGAAAAGCAAACTGGACATCCTTAAATTGTCTCTCTGATGTTCTTGCTACTTCTACCATGAGAACAAACTCTGGAGGCTAACATGGTCATTGTCTGCTGCGGAGGGTCTGAGAACATTGTGAGTTTGACACAGCTCAGGATGCGGGGGCAGCCATCTGCTGCTGGGGTGGGAACATCAGGGCCATCCCTGGGGAGCCCCCATCTCTGCTCTTGCCTCCCTAGGTTGGCTTTCCATTTGCCTTTCCACGAATGCCTGCCTTAGATGAGCATGAGAGATGCAGGCACTGGAAGCAGATTGAGGAAATACCGGCTCTCCTCAGAGACAAGAGAAAGGCCCACTCAGCATGCAGGGCAAGTGGCCAGAGCAGTTTGTGTTTTTCTTTTGGGCAGAAAGTCTTGATTTGTAAGGGGTGATGGCTACAGGCTGACAGCCAGCTCTATGTGGCCCTGGGGGAAGTGATGGCCCTCCTTAGGCTCCTACGAAAGAAAAATGTAACATGGTATGTGGAGTGAAGGACATGATCTATAGATCAGTGGTTCTCAAACTTTGGTGGGCGTCAGAATCACCTGGAGGGCTAATCAAGCACACAGAGGCCCAGGCTTGTTGTAGTAGGACAGGGCCTTGATCTTTCTAATTTTACAAGGCTCTTCCGTGGATCCAGATCCCCACCAAAGTTTGAGAATCACTGGTATAAAACAACAGAAATAAGAAGGGAACCAAGAGTCCTCATGTTTGAGCAGCTTTGTCTAGTTGGGTAGGAAACTACAGGAGAGAGAGAAAAGCGAAATGCAAAAGGGAAAAATACCATGTAATCTGCAAATCACTATGATTGATGAATTGGTTGCTATGGGAGCCCAGGGAAGGGGTACCCAACCCAGATCAGGAAGAGAGATGTTGTCTTTATAGAGGTAGAAACAAGATGGGGGCAAGGCCCAGTAACTGGGCAGAACATGGTGGTCCAGAGAGCTACAAAGTATGCATGGAACTGGGGGCATGAGCATCAAAAGGTCAGGTCGATTTTGAGGGTTCTGAAGTCAGTCTTTAAGAATTCCCATTACTTTTTCCTCACTCTTCAAGCATTTCTTGAGCACCCACTAGGTGCCAGGGCCTGGTATAATGAGACGAATAGGGAACAGGGCCCCGCTGTACAGTCACTCAGTATCTAGTTCAGGAAAGAGAGGCAAAAGCAGAAAATTACATTGCAATCGTCTCTATCTTATAAGAAAGGAATTTTTTGAAGGCCTCTGGGAGGAGCAACTCATTGTGCTTGGGGGAGTCTGAGAACTCTTCATGGGTTTGTGTCAAAACCAAGCTGTTCTTAAAGAACTTCAGCTGGGGGAACAGCATGTCCTAAGGTACGAATAAGTCAAAGAGCTTGGCATCTTCAAGGGAAGGTGGGTTTTCAGGGCAGTGACAGGCCTCACATGCCATGCTGGAGTTTACGCATCGTCGTTTGGGCATAAGCAAGTCAATACAGTGTTTCGATTTGGAAAACTGCACAAGGTCTTTCTTTAAAAGATGATAAATCTGGAGGTATTGATAAGAGTAGACTCAAAAGGAAGAGGGGAACACAGCTATTCCTTTGAAATAATCTGGGTGAGAGATGATGACATTCAAACCTCCAGCACTGGGGACAGAGACGAAGGGCACTTTTGATATACATTTCTGGGTTCTGAGTTAGAGGACCTGATCACCAGTGGTGCATCATTTGAGCTTGGACATGCCAATTTAGAGATATCTGTAGGACCTGTCTGGAGGTTAGGACTAGAAGTATCTAAGGAGTCATCAGCTTGGACATGGTGGTAGGACCAGAGGAATGTGAATGAGACAACCATGAAGAACTGGTGGCACAGGAAGGCCAAGGCAAAGCAGAGCCCTGGGAACATCCCTGACTTAAGGAGTGACTGGAGGACACATGAGAGGAGACAGGCTGAGCAGGACAGCAGGGTGGAACCCTGGAGTGAGTCCAACCTCTTACAGAGCCCAAGAATGGGCCCCATGAATGGCCTGGGAAATGTCCTCAGAGAACATATTTACCTTTCTAATGGATTACACCCTTGTTTCATTTCGTCATAACTCAAACCCAGCCAAGGGCTAAATGCTTAATGAAAATTAAATATCAGCAACTTCCATTTATTGAGTGCCAGGCTCTGTGCTAGAAACTTTCCTTATATTCTTGTTATCATCCAGCCCATGTTGCCAGAACCAACATCATCAATGGGACTGCCAACTTGATGTATGGCCTCCCTAGGGAGAACATCAGGATCAGGTACCTTAAAATGTCACAACTTATACCTGCTCTGCTTTGAGGGCAATGTCTACTGAAACGTTTTCCTTCTTTACTCTGAAATCCTGCCGTGTTCCTATGCCATAGCTATTATAATACACTTAACATGTATGTTATGTTCCAATTCTTAATACAAATAGCACAAGACAGATAAAAGTGTATTTCTTAAAAAGTGCCAAATAATGCTGTCATCATCTGCTTTGTGCTCTACTGCTTTGGTCTTCTGAAATAAGTTGTGAATTCTGAGAGTAAGGAGTCATGTCCTCCCCTTCCTCTGTGTCCTCTACAGTACTGGTGAACTCAAGGCACTTAATTCATGTTTGCTAACTGAGTAAAGAGAGAACTAATTGACGTCAATTTTAGGGTCAGCAAGGAAAAAGAATACAATATGTTTTGGTTCTTCCTTCTTAGAAGTTAGTGGGATGCACAAAGAACAGGGCTTTCAGTGAGTTTAAATTTGGCATCTAGGGGCGTCTGGGTGGCTCAGTCGGTTAAGCATCTGCCTTCAGCTCAGGTCATGATCTTAGGGTTCTGGAATCAAGCCCCACGTCGGGCTCTCTGCTCAGCGGGGAGTCTGCTTCTCCCTCCCCCCTGCTCATGCTCTCTCTCTCTCAAATAAATAAATAAAATCTAAAAAAAAAAAAAAAGGTGGCATCTAGGATGACCATGTGGCATCAATCTGAAGACCTTCAAACCTACCTACTCACCCACATGACCTATACATCCACCCACATAACATTTCAGTTATCCTGTGGATTGACCTGCACCCATTGAAGGAGCTGCTTCTACTCAGCCCCTGACAACCCCTCTGACCGGTATGCATCCCCCTTCTCCATTCACCCTAATCACTTGATGTTGACAGGACCCAGCTGGGCAGACCACCTGGTGGCTCATCTGTGCCTTGCCCTGAAATCCTTATTTTAATAGGGGCTGCAACAATGGAACCAGTAACTGGGTGCAAGCCACCCTAATTGGCAACATCAACTGGAAGGTCCTTGTCTCTGCAGGAGAGATGTTGGCCTTCAGCATGAGTGGCAGAGTTGTGTGGCATTGTGGGGTATTTATAGAAATTCTGGTTGGGACAGCCAGAGATAGGATGATGAGAGCATGTCACAGAGATGCACAGGGCAGTCATTTTCGACCAAATAAAATGTGGGCGAGGTGTCTGGGAGGCTGAGAGTCCCATGGAGACAGGTCCAGTGCTCTGGGGAGGGCAGCTTCTGTGTGAAACCAATGGGAGTACCTTGTCTTAGCGAGAAAAGACTGAGAAAATGTGAGAAAGAGCTGTATTCTTGAACTGGGATGTAGCCGGAAGGAGATTTGGAAAACTGGCCACAGCTGGGACTTCCCTGCCTCTGCCACTGTTTGGGTGAAACCTTTCTGTGTTGACTGCCATGTGATCAAATATTGGTGGGAGGGCAGGGAAGGGGAGTACATGGAGAGTCGAGGATCATGAGGCCAAGAGCATGGTCTTTGAGGATGAAAGTAAAATGATCCCTGGGTGTTGGCAACAAACAGGAAGTTAACCTTTAGTGGCCCAAGGCACCTGGGCTTTTCCTTCAGAGGCTGCCTGACTCCCAAAGACCTGCCCTCACGATGCACTTATGGGGAGCCCCTGAGGCTTGCCCTTCCCAGAGCACTGCAGGTGGACTGAGGGAGGAGGAGTATAATTACAGAGGTTCTGTGAGGCGAATCAGAGCCACTGCCGGAGCTGCCCTTCTTGGTTCTCTGGGCCAGGGAGGTGCCGAAGCGGAGGGTCTCATAGACAGGGTCCACCTTATTGCCACAGGCTGCAACAGAAGAGAAAGGTCATCTGAGTGACAGGTTTCCTCCACTCACCATCAGGAAGGCAACCAAGAATTTATCATACCTCCTGGGTCAGCAGCACTGGAGAAGAAGGTTCTGTGCCACAGACTCACTAACCCCTGGGAAAATGGAGCTGTGTGTGGTCAAGCTTTCCCGGCAGGTGGGCCCCCCACAATATGTGCCCTTTGGCCAGGTCTTTCCCGTGCACCCACCACTTACATCCAGAGCTCTCAGTTCCCAGACGCTTCCTGATTTATTGGTTTTTCCTCTTTTGTTATCCATCCTCAGGACTCCAATGTCAAGGTTCTGCCCGATACCAGCTTTATTTCCCCTGGTGTGAGGTTCTGCTCACCAAGGGACGAAGCCTTGAGCGAGACTCAAAGTTTGCAGTAAGAGGCAAGTCTTTTTGAAAGAATTTGACATTACCGGGGCGCCTGGGTGGCTCAGTTCGTTAAGCGACTGCCTTCGGCTCAGGTCATGATCCTGGAGTCCCGGGATCGAGTCCCGCATCGGGCTCCCTGCTCAGCGGGGAGTCTGCTTCTCCCTCTCCCGCTCCCCCCTCTTGTGCTCTCTCTCTCTCTCAAATATATAAAATCTTAAAAAAAAAAAAAAAGAATTTGACATTACCAGGCCTCATGAATTTCTGTTTAAAAGCTTTCTAGTTTAAAGCTTGCCCCCTCCAAAGGCAAAAAGAGACGGAGATTCTCAGGGAGAGAGAGAAAAATAGAAGTAAACTGAAAGATATTGTTAAAGAAAATTTCAAGCCAGAAAGATCTATAAATATAAGACATTTTTTTTGTCCTCATTAAAGAAAAACTGATATTCACGGAGTTCCTTCCAAGCATTGGTCTATAATTTACATTTATTTTTTTGCAACAGTATGAAAAGCAGCTTTTGCTGGTCTTCATTTATAGGGTCTGACAGTTTGAGTAACTTGTCCAGACACACAGTTAGTGGGTCAGCGGGGGAGCTGGGGTCTGAGCCGGGTCTGTGGGATGCTAGGCTCCATGCTCTTCCCACTCTGCCATGATGCTGAGGGGTGGTATAGCATATCAGCAGCCTTTGGGACGTGAGTGGTTTTCAAGCTTCATCGGGGAGGGGAGAATTTGCTCCTCCTTATGTTTCCTCTCCAGCAAAGCAAACAATCATAATGCCATCAGCTACCAGACAGACGCACAAACATAGCCTGCTAGATCTGCGGTCCTGAGACAGCAACAGCTGTTAATGCTGACATTGCTGCTCAAAACCCAGCTCAACCCATCAGCATCCCAACTCACCGATGGGCATAACTTCTTTAATGCATCCAAACTGTTCATGGATGAGCAAGGGGGAGCTGTAGTAACGCCGAAACCCTTTTGGCTGGAGAGAGAATGAGAAAGAGAAAGGCTTAATGTCACTGAAGAGATGGAGAAAACCACACAAGAGCTCTGAAAATCATACCAGCTGGTTTCTCCAGGGGGCACCGCTCTGTTGCCCTTGAAGATGCTAGCTTGTCCTAGAATTTATCCCTGGGGGGGGCGGGATGGGAGACAGGTGGCAATAAACAAGCTATGCTCCTCCCAGAAAGCAAGCCCCAGCCCTTCCCTTCCCTTTCCTGCCTCTCTTCCGTGTGCAGACCATAGCAACCTCCCTTGTGTCCAGGCTCCTCATTATCTCCCGGGATACAAATGGACTGGCACGCATTATTTCACTGCATTTTACTATTGAGGTTTATTAAACTCATAAAAGGCCTGGGCAAGGGGAAGCAGACCTCAGAGAGAGGCCAAAAGGACCTTGGATATATGACAAGCTCCCCACAGAGTCATTTGCCTTGTGTTCTAGACTCTCTGCTATGTTTTTCTGATCTCTCACTCATGGTCTTTGCCTTGGCTTGTGGAAATCATTGGAGGAGGAGGAGGGGAACAGGTGCGGCAGGGGTTTTAGAGAAGAGGACACTGCCAATCAGAGTAAGGAGATGAACTCTCTAAGAACCTTGAGTTACTCTATGCCAGTGTTGGAAGGGAACTTTGTGGCCCGGCCCCTACTGGAATTCCAGAATCCTCGCCCATGTTCCTGGCAGGTGGTATCTTCATTTTTTTGAACACTGCCACTGCTGGGGGGGTGGGGTGGTGGGAGGAGCTCCCACTAGCCATGGAGGCAGGTCTTTAGTGACATTAGCTCTTTGTTAAGACTTGGTATCTACTGATCCTAGGTCTTTTCCCTGGAGCCACAGGACAGGAGAGAATTCCTCTTTTGTATGACAGGTCTTAAATTTTTTTGAAGACAGCTGTCACAGCCTAAGTATCTCTAGGGTAGACATTCTTGGTCCCTTTGTCAGTTCTCTGGCCATCCTAGTATCGATACCCTCAAAAGTGCTCCGGGTTGCTTTTTATCCACATGTGGCACCAGTACGGAAGCCCACGCTCCCAAGATGCTAAGACCAGAACTAGAATGGGCCAGGGCCATCTGACCTTCTTTGGCTTGGCCACCATGATCTCTTAAAGTGGTGCGTTGATTTTTATTATTCTCTCCATTTTTAGGGGCGTGGTTAATCTCTCTCCCCTTCTTGACATCCAGTGAGCCGTCAGCCAATTTAGCACTGAGGTGACCAGCCACCCTTGTTTTTATGGGCTGGGAAGGTTCCTGGGATGCCACACTTTCCTCTTTAAAACAGGAACAGTCCCAGGATATGGGACTTGCAGTGCTAAAATTGAAAAAGTTCCAACCGGGACAAGTTGGTCACCATGTTAAGGACATGGAGTCCTTTTCACATGGGGAGCATTTGTCTCTCAGGTTGATAAAGCTCCTCTTCTGCTTGATCACTATGCCAACAAGGAAGCCTTATTGGTAGGCCAGGGATTTGGGGGCTGCTTTCCTAGTGTCTGGCTATCAGGGTGCCACAGGGAAGGAGTTTGGATGGGCAGGAGTTTCTGGGCTCACTCCTGGCACCAGCCCTTACCAGCTTGCCCATGCACCGCTGGGGTGCTAGGCCATCCATGCACTTGTGGTGGATGCTCATCTTACAGGCCTTGCAGCGCAGCCCATGCTTAGCGTTTGCTCCTGTCAGACATGTGTGAGCTTTGGTTAGGATACAACCTGCCTTTACCTGGTGACTAGCATGAAGTCCCTAAAAGAGTGGTTACTCCCTAAACCCAGGTCATTCTTCTTCTCTGTGACTTTAGCATGATGTTTTCGAAACAGACAAGATCTTATGGTAGATTCTTTGACCTTCTCCCACATCTGGTACCACTTAAGGTATCAGCTCTGGTTTCTTCCTACTCCTTTCCTCTTCATTACTCCAGAAAATCTCAGCCTCCTCCATGTCACCGTTCAACTCAATTCAAGTTAGCAAATGCCACTTTCTTTGCCTGTTTCTGCTCTTCTGTATGTCTTGCCAAGGAGTGCAAGTGCTGAAATTTTGCCCATTTTTTACCTGAATTTCTGTCATAGAGTCTGAGCTATTGGGACTCTTGGGTAAATGGCCAATAAAGGGGGAATGGCATGGTCTGTGTGAGAGAGGGCTGAGGATACTTCAAGTGGGGACAGAGGGCTGGATCAGACAGCAGCTCCTGCCTGGTGGAAGAGGAAGAGGAGGTGGGTGGCCATGAGAGCACTGCTGCAGAGAGTCACCCAGCCTCCTGGGACAGGGTGCCTTGATGGGGTAGGAAGAAAGGAGGCAGAGGAGGAGAGAGGCTCCTTGGTGACCCTGTGATGCTTCAGTGAGGCTCAGGGCAGCAGTGCTGGGGGGCAGACAAGAGGGTGGGCCTGGGGGGCCTCAGGGACATGGGAGGGATGCTGGCCATCTGCATTCATGTTCTACAGTGCAGCTGGAGGGAGGCGAGGTGAGGATGTCAGAGCGGGACATTTTCTGTCTCCACTTGGTCCCAAGAGGTGCGAGACAGAGTGAGTGAGCTGATAGGCTCCTCACAGGCCTCCAAAAATGGGCTGCCAAAATGGGAGTTTATAGCTCTTAGATGGCTAAGCACATCAAGCACATTAGAAAAGTGAAGAAGGTGGGGGCTGGGGAGGATTTCTTTGTGGAGCTGTTGAGGTCCTACTCCTTTCATCCTCAGTCCTACTTAGAGAGGATTCAAGGGGGTTATTTTAAAAGCTTGGCTTATGTCCCCTGGAGTCTGTGGGACACACGGCTGTGGCTATACCCACATAAAGAATGCTGACAAAGAAGACCACTGGACAGGCAATGGGACTCCCTACATCTCATAGGCATTGATATGTACATATACTCGGAGACATGAGGCCACAGGTATCCTGCTCCCTATGCAGCAGACTACAGAAGCAAAATGAGGACACCCCAAGTTCGTATGTGAAAACCACCCTCTTCTCTGCCATCCAAACCACCATTGGCCCTTGTCCAGACTCATTCCTAGTTGAACTAGTTTCTCTGTTTTTGTCTTCCTCCAGTGCGTGCACAGTAACCAGAACAATCATTTAAACAAGACTTGAATCACCTCCCTTTCTTGTGTAAACAGCTTTCAGTAGGTTCTCCCTGCCTTTCTGGTGTTATAAAAAATGCTCAGCATGGTGGGGAGGCTTTGTATGATTTGGTGGAGCCCATATCTGCCTCTATCTCAAGCTAACCCCCTTGTTCGCTATACTCTAGCCACATGGCCTTCTGCAAGTTCCCTGAAGGCACGAGCTCTTTAATTCTTCAGGGTCTTTCACACACACTGCCCTAAATGCCCGGAATGTTGTCTCTATCACACTCACCTGGCTAGCCAATCCTCATCCTTTGGGTCTCTTGTCATTCCCCCCATGAAGCTTTCTTGGCCACATTCCCCCTTTCCTTGTCTAAATTATCTTTATTATTATTATTCTTCTTTCTTACAGCACTCTGTTGTTGTTTTTCACAGCATTTATCACAATTACTCATTTGAGAGTTTGTTTTTGTATGCCTTTTCTCCTGGACTGTGAACTCAATGAGGCTAAGGGCTGTGTTTGTTCATCGGCCACTGGGTACCCAGCTCTGAGTATGATGTCCAATAAATATGTGTTAAATACGTTAATCAACAAATTCTCTCACAGTCATACATGTACTGAAGCAAGGGTGACCGACTGAGATAATTAAGTGGAGTTGATTCATTGATGGTGTAGAAGCAGCATTCAAGAGCTCGGAGAGGACTTCAAGATCATCTATAGGGATGATTTTATTCCACAGATGAGAAGCCTGAGGGTCCAGGTCAGAAGAGGTCCTGCCTAGTATCACTTTTCCTCTGCTTGACCCTAAAACTTCCTCCATTTATTGGGGATAAGGTACATGAAGATATGAATGGGGATAATTAGACGTTAAAATAAAGGAGAGTACAGAACATGATATTCAACTGGGAAAAGCCACAGGCAAACTCATGTCTGGACAAAGATCCACGATACCTTCAGGAGGTATTACCTGCAAACTCCCTTCGAGAAGGTATCATTTAACACAATGTGTGTCTGCTCTTACAACCACAAAAAGGCAAAGTGACATATAAACAAACCATAAATTACTGGGTATGTGTGCTTGTTCATAAATACTAGTTGGAAAGGCTCTTTTCCTTTTTTAAGAGTGGTTACTGCAATGCCTTCTAAACACTGGGCTTTGAAAGCAATCACTTATTTTTTTGTTTTCAAATTAGAGAATGCTATTTGTGCCCTATGAGAGAATAAATAAAAGCTTCAAAGAAGAGTTATTTCATTGTGTACTGGACTCTGAAATAGCACTATTATATATTAAGGTATATTCTCCTTCAGGCCTGAACACTGTAATTTCAGTTTTCCTTGTCTGTTCTAATACACTCCACTATTTGAATGAATCAGATCACCAACAATAATTTGGTTTTAGGTGTTCCAATTTCTATTGTGGAATAGCAGGAGTGACTGAAGAGGAAAGCTTGTATTCTGTGGCTCATAGAATAGTTCAAAGGGATAAATCACATCACTCACTGGTGTTAGCTTACTGTAGCAGGATATGGGAAAGCTATGGTCTGACCCATTACTAGTGACCTCCATCACAAAGGCATCACTGAATGTGACCCTTAGGCTTCAGTAAGAGTGGGAAAAACATGGTTTTAAATTAGAATCTGTCTCATGCTGGCCCTTTAAACTTAAGAAAGCTACTAACATTCCTGGAGCCTCAGCTGTCTCCTCATCAAATGGCAATACTTCTAAGTCCTCCCAGAGTTGCTAACAGTAATAGTGTTGAAATATATGCAAAGGGGATTGCATGGATTTAAATACTCGTAAACATAAAGATGTCACTGGACTTTGAATAAACATGGTGGATTGGCCACATGAGAGTCCCATTTACTCATACCAAAGCCCACTAAAATGTCAGGCCAATAATAAAAAGTGGTATAAACCCCGAATAACAAGGTTACTGGGAAGAGTGGCAAGTGTAGAAGAGAGTTCATGTATTCAGAAGATAGAAAGCAACTGGAGGAATGGCAAGGAATTTAGCAGAAAAGGGGGGAGACTGGATTTCCCAATAGCAACTTGGAAATGGGAAGATCAGGGACCCTCAAAAACTGTGGAATTTTAAAATTCTGAGAGAAAAGACTTTCCAACCTTGAATTGTATACCCAGGCAAATAACCAACGATTATGTAGGCAGAATAAACACATATTCAGGGATTCAAAATATTTGCTTTCCATACACCCTTTCTCAGAACATTAATGAAAAATGTGCCTTAGAAAGATCAGGGAATAAATCGAGGAAGAAGAAATTGTTGGATCCAGTGCACAACAGAGGAATTGACACAGAGGAAAGGTAAATGATATGCCCCTGGGACAGCTCTGCAGTAGCCCTAGACAAGTGCTACAAGATGAAGTAAGGCCATACCCCTGGGGGAAAAATGGAACTTAGAAGTTTATTGATGCTTTTCAGGTTTCGATGCTGTAACAGATATGGCATCTGACAGATACATGAAAGCATTTGAAAAAAAAAAAAAACTATAGGTGCATAAAAGGTCAAGGGAATTAAAAAGGTGATTTCTAATTGAGGAAATATAAAACTTGTGTAAGGAAAGAAATGTAATCCTAGCACAATATTTGAATCAGAAGGGCGCCTGGGTGGCTCAGTCGGTTAAGCGACTGCCTTCGGCTCAGGTCATGATCCTGGAGTCCCGGGATTGAGTCCCACATCGGGCTCCCTGCTCGGCGGGGAGCCTGCTTCTCCCTCTGACCCTCCCCCCTCTCATGAGCTCTCTCTCTCTCTCATTCTGTCTCAAATAAATAAATAAATAAAATCTTTAAAAAAAATATTTGAATCAGAAATTAGCAATAGTCACAATAGTGTATACACTATCAAGTTCACACAAAATTGTGACAGAAGTAGTTGTGACGATGAGAACAGAGGAACAGCAAAGATTGTGCTGTAACTCTTGTAGGAAGGTGAGAGCAAGGCAGAGGGGAACGAGCAGGGGGTGCCAGAGGGTGTCAACCAGAAGCCAATAAATGTTTCATTAATCAATAAATAGTAAGTGCAGCATTTAGATATATTGAAATAAATGCCTGAAGAAACAATTAAAGAGGATGAAAGTAGCTGCCTTTCAGAAGTGTCATGGTTATAGGATGAGAAATTTTCCACTGAAGTATTCTCAGTACCATCTGTACCATATTTAAACTATTCTCATGTCCTACTGTGGCAAAAAGCAAATAAAAATGAAGCTGCTGGAAGCTGGGTCATATCAGCCCCTTGGATTGATGTGGTCTGTGGTATATGGAGATACAGGGAAAATATGGAGCCAGCTTATCACATAACCATCAGTTCTTCCCTGGAATTTGAACTTCTGGGATAAATCTAAGATAGTTCTATGAGTTATGGTGGAAAATTGTTAAGGATGTTAGTTATGATACTCAAATGGAATTTGGAATGGATCAGTGCAAGCTAGGACAACACTGACTAACTGTCCGGCACTGGGCTATTTTATGAGCATGGTAGGATTTACCATTATGGATAAGTGAGCTGTCTCTAGAGGAACCAAGTGTTGAAGCTCTTGTGAATAAAGGAGTCTCATATAGATATTGGCAGAAATATAAAAGGGGTTTTCTCAATGCAAATGGCTACTC